CCTCCTTCCCTCAGTAAGAGCATTGAAGATGGGTCGTGGCTGGGTCTTCCAGCATGACAACGACCCGAAACACACAACCAGGGCAACTAAGGAGTGGCTCCGTAAGAAGCATCTCAAGGTCCTGGAGTGGCCTAGCCAGTCTCTAGACCTGAACCCAATAGAAAATCTTTGGAGGGAGCTGAAAGTCTGTATTGCCCAGCGACAGCCCCGAAACCTGAAGGATCTGGAGAAGGTCTGTATGGAGGAGTGGGCCAAAATCCCTGCTGCAGTGTGCAAACCTAGTCAAGACCTACAGGAAACGTATGATCTCTGTAATTGCAAACAAAGGTTTCTGTACCAAATATTAAGTTCTGCTTTTCTGATGTATCAAATACTTATGTCATGCAATAAAATGCAAATTAATTACTTAAAAATCATACAATGTGATTTTCTGGATTTTTGTTTTAGATTCCGTCTCTCACAGTTGATGTGTACCCATGATAAAAATTACAGACCTCTACATGCTTTGTAAGTAGGAAAACCTGCAAAATCGGCAGTGTATCAAATACTTGTTCTCCCCACTGTATATACACATATCATTTTTTAAAAATATTTCCCTTTATTACTTTCTAACCCCACCACCCCTTCCCTAATTGGAGTAAACTAGTGAACAACAACGCTTAGGCCTCTACTTCCAGCTTATACATACTATATACATTTTATGGACATTCTATTTTGTTTGTTTTTACTCCTGAACCCCTACCCTCAACCTCTCAGATCATTGTCATGATGTCCATCCCGTTTGCTCCTATATGCCATATCTTTTTAACTGTGCTCGTTCACAAAAGCTCTCAACCTATAACCTATATACTTATTATGGACACAGTATGCTTTACATTAGTTATCTTGTTGTCATTAGTTGTTGTTAGTCCCATCCTTCAGCTCCATTCAACACCTCCCATCTATCTCTTAACACCATCCATATTGGATCTGCAGAGCTGGGAAGATTGTATCCCCCATATAAATAACATTATATTGGTAGCAAGAATTTTGTATAATAATTTAAATTGAAAAATTCTACGTTTTGAATCCGGCATCGTTTTGCGTATCAGTTCATAAACAATATGGCATGGAATCGGTACGTCAAAAATCTCTTCCCAACTATTTTGCAATCTATATGGGACGCCTGTCAATCCTTTGGTCCTTAAATGAAACTATAAGGCTAACACTGCATTGAATGCATTACCTGAAAGAGGTAGGCTAGGACATTATATACAGTGCATTCAGAAAGTATTCAGACCCCTTGACTTTTTCCACATTTTGTTACGTTGCAGCCTTATTCTAAAATGGATGAAATTGTTTTTTTCCCCCTCATCAATCTACACACAATACCCCATGATGACATAGTAAAAACAGGTTTGAGAAATGTTTGAACATTTATTTTAAGAATAAAAAACTGAAATATCACATTTAAGAATGATTGAGGCCACTGTGTTCTTGGGGACCTTCAATGCTGAAGAAATGTTTTCGTACCCTTCCCCAGATCTGTGCCTTGACACAATCCTGTCTCGGAGCTATACGAACAATTCCTTCTACCTAATGGCTTTTTAAAAAAATGTTTAAACTGTTTTCGCTTTATCATTATGGGGCATTGTGTGTAGATTGATGAGGGAAAAAATGATTTAATCAATTTTAGAATAAGGTTGTAATGTAACAAAATGCGGAAAAAGGGGTCTGAATAATTTCCGAATGCACTGTATAGGGCTAGAACAAGATGATCTATTTTGGATGCAATTTCTCGCGGGTGCACGGATTTAAAGCAACGATATTCGAGTGATAGGCTGTTTTTAAAAGTCTGCAGCTGCAATGAAAAAAAAAAAAATCTTTACAATAAAATAATAATAAGGTGACCCCAGAAAGCCAGATGGAGATGGGTAAATTAGACGTGCATTCGGTCTTTATATTACTGTAGTATAGACTATGCTGCAGCAAATGTAGCCTGTCACAAGAATAACAGTTACCATGATGAGATGATACAGTAGGTCTACATGCATTGTTACCATGATGAGATGATACAGTAGGTCTACATGCATTGTTACCATGGTGAGATGATACAGTAGGTCTACATGCATTGTTACCATGATGAGATGATACAGTAGGTCTACATGCATTGTTACCATGGTGAGATGATACAGTAGGTCTACATGCATTGTTACCATGGTGAGATGATACAGTAGGTCTACATGCATTGTTACCATGGTGAGATGATACAGTAGGTCTACATGCATTGTTACCATGGTGAGATGATACAGTAGGTCTACATGCATTGTTACCATGATGAGATGATACAGTAGGTCTACATGCATTGTTACCATGGTGAGATGATACAGTAGGTCTACATGCATTGTTACCATGATGAGATGATACAGTAGGTCTACATGCATTGTTACCATGGTGAGATGATACAGTAGGTCTACATGGATTGTTACCATGATGAGATGATACAGTAGGTCTACATGCATTGTTACCATGATGAGATGATACAGTAGGTCTACATGCATTGTGAACTGCTCTCCATACTGAGATGGGCTGTCTGCACCCATCGTTGATTCATCATGCAGAGGCCATAGAGAAGACAGATTTAGACATCGCTTATAATGTAACACCATCCTGTTCATATAAATACTTTATTATAATTTACTGGTTTCTCGCAGTTATTTATCCCGGGAAAAGGGAGTGGTTTTGGGCGTTAAAAATCACGGTAAATCTCGGTAACCGGTTTCCCGCCATTCAACCCTAGTGTGTGTGTGTGTGTGTGTTTTTGCAGGTCTTTGGATGCTTGTGAGAGTATGAGAGGGTTTATGTTGTGTGTCTAATATCCATGATCATGTGGTTGGAATGTGTCAAATAAAAATGCTGTTAGAATCAACATGTTAGTGGGATGTCCTAAGGATGGGGTGTTTTAAATGGTACTGCCTTGTTTACAGGCAAAGGGTTTTAGAAAGCTGGATTTTCAACAACAACAAAAAAAGTTTTTCTGTTCATAGTCTATTTTTCATGTGATTGCAATGCTCCTCTTCAAGCATTTCACAGTTACCTCATCGATTCTAGATTCATTGCAACACGAGACGGCTCTGTGTACCGTCTCTATCTACAGTCACATCTCCATCTCTTTCCTCCCGCTTCGGTCTTCCGTATACCACACCACCCTACCATTCCCCTCTCGCTCTCTCTCTCTCTCTCTCTCCTTTCTTCACGTCGCGGTGTTCTGCCTTGTTACTGCCTCTGTCTGTACAGTGTGTTAGACAAGGTTCATGTCTGTGATTTATTACCAAGGCATCCTGATGCTTGGGTAGCAGCTTAAGGACAGAATGGTGGCCATTTTCCCTTTGTGAGACGGGCCTCATGTTCCTACAGGGTTAATCGCCCATCCATCTCCAGTTACCTCAATTCCATTTAAATGCAGACTGGCTGAGAGGCAACGGGGCCATTTTGGATCGACTCGGCGGACCCAGGCAATTTGACTGCTCTTTCTTTCCACTTTGTTGGGAAAGTAATGAACTACAGCAGCCCAGAGAGACCGGCAGCGTCCACTTCATTTACTCTCCAGAGCTTGGCGCTTGTCAGGCTTCCTCCTCATTTCTCTAGTGGCTCGTTTTATTGCTTTGACCGAGGTTCTTTGGGATACTTTATATTTGCTTAATTTGTCTTTCTCTCTCTTGTTTGCCATGTGAGCGGTTACAGCTCCAGGGAGAGCCGCTCTTAACTACAGGGCAGTGAGCTGGGGGGGGGGGGGGGGGCGGGTTCGAGCAGTTTGGGGCAGAGCGTACATACTCATGCCAGGCTGGTAAAGCAGTTTCCTTAATAAATAAAAGGTGGAAGATCAGGGGTCGTGACAAATTGTTTTTTGCTCTGCTAGATTACGAGATTATTTAACTGCTTTTGAACGAAAGCATCGTGACATCAGGGATGTCAGATTCGTAACGTACAGACTGAAAACTGGACCTATTCGCGCCTGCATGTCAGTGTTCAACATCGTCATGGAGTTAAAGACATTTCAAGTCAACAACATAAGCCATTCTATAACGGAGACCCCGTTACCGCAATGCATGTTGGTGAAAGGTTAACCACTACACTAGTACCCTAAGGTCTTGCTGTACTGAGTTAGTGGCCTAGCATAGGCTTTACTCTGTCAGTGAGCTGACACTTCCCTGATAGAGATTGGTCGTGGGGGTACTCCTCCCTCTTCCCTTCACAGCAGGGCAGAGTGGGGGGGTAAACTGCATCCACACTCTCCCCTGTTGCACCGGCAGGCAGAGATGGGGGATGGGTGGAGGAAGGAGAGGCGTGGTGACACGTGGGGGGTAACTTCTCCACGCGCTCATCCCCCGTTCCACCCGGGGGCAGAGAATGGCTGGGGAGAGAGAGCGTGGTGGACCGTGAGGGGGTAAAACTGGCACACCACTCTTCCCCGTCACCATGAGGGCAGACGAGTGGGGGATGGGTGTGAGGAAGAGAGTGGTGGACTGGTGGGTTAACCGTCACTCATTTCCCCCGTCCAACCAGCAGGCAAAGATTGGGAGAATGGTTGGAGGAAGGAGAGGGTGGTGGACCGTGGGGTTAATCACTTCACCACTCTTCCCCCTTAACACCCAGGCTGAGTGCATAGATCTGGAGGAGATGCCAGTGGGGAGGAGAGAGCGCGTGTGGACGTGGGGGGGTAACTCCTCCACCACTCTTCCCCGTTCACCACGGCAGGGCGAGCATCGGGATGGGGAGGCTCAAGGACAGGCCCGTGGCCTTAGACGTGGGGCAGTAACCTCCACCACTCTTGCCACACCAGTTCAACAGGCAGGGCAAAGATGGGGGATTGTGGAAGACATGGAAGAGCGAGCGTTGATGCAGGTAGGAGGGGGGCGTAATTACATCTTGACTGAACTTTCGGCAGACGGTGATGGATCCTTAGTTTATGGGTGGCGCTGAACATCATGACCTGTTTCATGGGTTGGAGAATCAACTTATCTGATCGCCTTGGACGCTCGGCGCATGTCTGAGGAACGGAAGAGTAGCATCAAGGATGGAAGATCAGTTACACTATTACTGAGTATCCACGGATGGGATGATTCAGTTATCACTCACTATAGCTGAGTACATCACGGATGCAGCAGATTAATCAGGGGTGTATTCATTAGTGCAAAGCGTAGCAAACCGTAGAAACATGTTTTTGCAACAAAAATTAGACTTCCTTATTGGAGAAGTTCAGGTAGTTAGGCCCCTCCCCATTTCGGACGGTTTGCCTCCATTTTGGTTCCTATTAAATACACCCCAGGTCTGTTTGAGTGTCATTCAGATACTGTGAGGAGATCAGACTCACCAAGTTGCTCCAGCATCTTGTCACACTCGTCCAGGATGAAGTGTTTGATGTTTCGCAGGTTGAGGGTCTTGTTGCGGATCAGGGCCAGGATTCGCCCCGGCGTCCCCACCACCACATGGGGACACTCCTTCTTCAACACCTCCCCGTCCTTCTTTATAGACAGGCCACCAAAGAACACTGCCACCTGGTGAGAGAAAACCAGTGGTGAAACAGTGCACTTTAAAAACAATAAGTCTTTAATTTTAAACAGTTTGATATTCCGTTAGCCGGCACCTCTACCAACGTTCTGGGGTTTGCGTCGGCTCATGCTTTTTTACTGAAACACTGCAGTTATTATCAACACTCAAGGTTTTGAAGGTGTAGATAAACATTGCGTACCTTGATAGTTGGCATGTACTTGGAGAATCTCTCATACTCCTTGCTGATCTGAAACGCCAGCTCTCGGGTGTGGCACATCACCAGCACTGACACCTAAACAGAGACAGAAGTGGGCAGGATGGGTAGTTAATGCTTTATAAAGCTTAGTGGGCAGAATGGGTAGTTAACCTCTACGGGATGGGTAGTTAACCTCTACGGGATGGGTAGTTAATGCTTTATAAAGCTTAGTGGGCAGGATGGGTAGTTAACCTCTACGGGATCGGTGTTCCGTATACGGGACAGTTGAGCTAACGTGCGCAAATGTGATTAGCATGACTGTTGTAAGTAACAGCAAACTTTCCAGGACATAGACATGTCTTATATGGGCAGAAAGCTTAAATTATTGTTAATCTAACTGCACTGTCTAATTTACAGTAGCTATTACAGTGAAAAAATACCATGCTATTGTTTGAGGAGAGTGCACAACAACAAAAAACGTATCACGGAAACTGGTTTGATACATTCACCTCTGAAGGTAAATAATGTACTTACATTCAGTAATCTTGCTTTGATTTGTCATCCTAAGGGTCCCAGAGATCAAATGTAGCATAGTTTTGTTTGATAAAATCAATTTTTATATTCAAATGTAGGAACTGGGTTCAACAGTTTGAACCCTTGCTGTCTCTGGCTCCACACCCACCCTGCCCGGCCATCTAGATGTGTGAAAGTTAGTGTATAAGCTAATGATCTATTATGTATGACATTCCTGGGAGTGTGTAAACTTACATTTTGTATTACCATATCATTTTTGTATGTTCTCTATAGTTATGTACTTGAAAATGTATCATTGACCAATTTGGCACATTTGGACAGACTTGATACAAAATAGTCCAGTATTGCAATGCTTCACTGTATCAATCTGAAATGTTGCACACACTGCTGCCATCTAGTGGCCAAAATCTAAATTGCGACTAAACTGCAATATTATATTGTGGCCTTTCTCTTGCATTTCAAAGATGATACAAAAATTACAAATAAATGAAAACGCATGTTTTTTTGTTTGTATTATCTTTTACCAGATCTTATGTGTTATATTCTCCTACATTAATTTCACATTTCTACAAACTTCAAAGTGTTTCTTTTCAAATGGTATCAAGAATATCCATATCCTTGCTTCAGGTCCTGAGCTACAGGCAGTTAGATTTGAGTATGTCATTTTAGGTGAAAATTGAAAAAATGGGTCCGATCCTTAAGAGGTTAATCCATTATAAAGCTTAGAGGGCAGGATGGGTAGTTAATGCATTATAAAGCTTAGAGGGCAGGATGGGTAGTTAATGCATTATAAAGCTTAGAGGGCAGGATGGGTAGTTAATGCATTATAAAGCTTAGAGGGCAGGATGGGTAGTTAATGCATTATAAAGCTTCGAGTGGCCGGATGGGGTAGGTTCATGCATATAAAGCTTAGAGGGCAGGGATGGGTAGAATTGAAAAAGGTGATTCAAAGAAAGGAGAGGAGAAAAAGGAAAGATGTATACAGTAGTGAGGATGACAACAAAAATGGAGAAGAGGTCGAAGAGAAGGGAGATGGGAGATGAAAAGAGAGGGAGGTGGGAGATGCGATGGAAAGAGAGAGCAGTGGAGTAGCTAAGAGGCTGTAGAGGAGGTAGGAGCTTAAAGACAGAGCAGGATGGAGAGCAAAGCGAGAGGGCAGATGAGGAGAAGAACTAGAAGAGCTAGGGCAGGAGTAGAGACAAAAGAAGAGAGAGGGCAGGAGGTAGGAGCATGATCGTTGAGGAGCTCACTCGGTAGAGGGAGTGGGAGAGGAGAAGAAGATGATGAAGGAGAGTAGAGACATGAGGACGACGAGAGGAGAGGGAGGTGAGAGAGAGGAGGGCGAAGGAGAGAGGAGAGAGAGAGAGAGAGGAGAGCAAGAGAGGAGAGAGAGAGAGAGAGATGAGTGGGAGAGGAGAGAGAGAGGAGAGGAGAGGAGAGAGAGAGGCAGGCAGAGAAATGGAGGGAGGGAGACAGAGAGGGAGACAGAGAGGGAGAGAGGCAGAGAGGGAGAGATATTCTTGATACCATTTGAAAAGAAACACTTTGAAGTTTGTAGAAATGTGAAATTAATGTAGGAGAATATAACTATGTGCACACTGCCCACAAAATGAGGTGGAAACTGAGCTGCACTTCCTAACCTCCTGCCAAATGTATGACCATATTATAGACACATATTTCCCTCAGATTACAGCGATCCACAAAGAATTCGAAAACAAACCCAATTTTGATAAACTCCCTTATCTACTGGGTGAAAAACCACAGTGTGCCATCACAGCTGCAAGATTTGTGACCTGTTGCCACAAGAAAAGGGCAACCAGTGAAGAACAAACACCATTGTAAATACAACCCATATTTATGTTTATTTATTTTCCCATTTGTACTTTAACTATTTGCACATTGTTACAACACTGTATATATACATAATATGACATTTGAAATGTCTTTATTCTTTTGAAACTTCTGAGTGTAATGTTTACTGTTAATATTTATTGTTTATTTCACTTTTGTTTACTATCTACTTCACTTGCTTTGGCAATGTTAACACACGTTTCCCATGCCAATAAAGCCCTTAAATTGAAAAAAAATTGAATTGAGAGAGAGAGAGAGAGGCAGAAAGGGAGAGAGACAGGCAGAGACGGAGGGAGAGAGGCAGAGAGGGAGAGAGAGAGAGACAGAGAGAGAGAGAGAGAGAGAGAGAGAGAGAGAGAGAGAGAGAGAGACAGAGAGACAGAGAGACAGAGAGAGAGAGAGAGAGAGAGAGAGGCAGATAGAGAGAGAGGCAGAGAGGGAGAGAGAGAGAGACAGAGATACATTACCTGTCCAGTGACAGGCTCCAGCTGCTGTAGTGTGGCCAGAACAAACACTGCCGTCTTGCCCATACCAGACTTGGCCTGGCACAGCACATCCATCCCCAGGATCGCCTGGGGGATGCACTCATGCTGAACTGAAAGGAAAATAGTTACTAGAAATGACTAAAATATAAATTACTAATGAATAATAATATAAGGTACAGTAATTATTACCTAATTATCAACTAAGTGACTAAATCAAAAACCCCTTAAAAAGGGATACTTTGGGATCACCTACTAGCGTTAGCACAATGACTGGAAGTCTATGGGTATCTGCTAGCACGCCCGAAGTATCCCTTGAAGTCAAATCATTGATGCAATTACTTTACATTTTAGTCATTTCGCAGGCGCTCTTATCCAGAGCGACTTACAGTTAGTGAGTGCATAAAACATTTTCATACTGGCCCCCCGTGGGAATCGAACCCACAACCCTGGCGTTGCAAGAGCCATGCTCTACCAACTGAGCTACAATGAGGCCTTGCTTGCAGATTATAGTTTGACAGTTGATCTGATTCATGGCAATTTGGCTTGAAGATTTCAGTGTAAGCTTATTATAATCAGCCAGTGAACTGCTGACCCCTGCAGCTCTTCAAAAGGGAGTCCCCTGTAGCTCAGTTGGTAGAGCATGGCGCTTGCAACGCCAGGGTTGTGGGTTCGTTTCCCACGGGGGGCCAGTATGAAAATGTATGCACTCACTAACTGTAAGTCGCTCTGGATAAGAGCGTCTGCTAAATGACTAAAATGTAAAATGGATGCCTTCACTAGGAACCAAACGGAAGCAAACGGGCCGAAACGGGAAGGAACCTGAACTTGCTCGTTTTCGTTGCAAAACGTCTTGCTATGCTGTGCACTAATGAATACACCCCAGTGTGGTGTGTGTTAGAAGCATGTATAGACTACAACCGTCTGGTTCCACTCACCCTCAGAGGGATGCTCAAAGCCACAGTCCACTATAGCCCTCAGCAGCTCTGGCTTCAACAGGAAGTCTCTAAAACCAGAGGAATGGATGGACACATAGGAGCCCTTCACACGCTCCTTCTTAATGGCCAGAATATCCCCTCCTGACAGATCTCCCACCGCGTCCACATCATCCTCATCATAGTCCAAGAGCTCATTCTCCACGTCCTGCTCAGTCATCCTGCCAGGTAGAAAGAGAGGATTACAGAGAGAGTGAGTGAGTGAGTGAGTGAGTGAGTGAGTGAGTGAGTGAGAGAGAGAGAGAGAGAGACAGAGACAGAGACAGAAAGAGAGAGAGCCAGAGAGAGAGGGGGAGACACAAAGAGAGTGGAGAGAGAAATAGTCATAAACATGTCCTGTCGGGTGGTCACCTTTGTAGACATGAAATACCCTCATTATAGTGCAAGATGCTTAAAGGAATACTTCTACTTCCCCAGAGTCAGATGAACTCATGGATACCATATTTATGTCTCTGCGTGCTGTTTGAAGGAAGTTGCTAACCAGTATTAGCGCAATCGCTAACTAGCATTAGCACAATGACTGGACGTCTATGGTAACTGCTAGCATATTAGTAGATACCATAGACTTCCTGTCATTGTGCTAATGCTTGTTAGCATTGGCTCGCAAAACTACCTCTTAACTTCCTTCTTGCTGAATGCAGAGACATAAAAATGGTATCCATGAGTTAAATCTGACTCTGAGGAAGTACATGAAGAGCGTCATTGCCAACATCCGAAAGTATCCATTTAACTGTGTGAGGATTATTATGATAATAATAATAATAATAATATGCCATTTAGCAGACGCTTTTATCCAAAGCGACTTACAGTCATGCGTGCATACATTTTCTTTTTTGTGTATGGGTGGTCCCGGGGATCGAACCCACTACCTTAGCGTTACAAGCGCCGTGCTCTACCAGCTGAGCTACAGAGGACCACGGTGATGATGATGATGACAGGGTTAGGAAAACAAGCTTCCTTTAAGGTTAGCTTAATTTATATTTCTGCCAAATTAGTATTGGAAATAAGTAAAAGTACTCATAACTATTCATTAGGGCTGCTATCATGTGTCAACTCCTTAAGTGACAACATGAGTGGCAACATAAATGTCATGAATATTCATGAGTCTCGAAATAGAACCTGTCAGGTGAATGGTTGAGCTTTCTTGAATGCGTGATGTCACACAAATGCTCTACAGAGCCGTCTGCTGCCACCATGAGCAGTAACACTGACCGAACGACTTGGGAAACCCAAGAAATGAAAGCTTCACCAGCTAGCTACCAATCTATTTTAGTTTCACTGTGCCGATCATTCAAATTACAAGCCCACTAACTGTTATTTGTACCTTAACACAAACGGGCTGGTATGTGTTACTTGATATGTTACAAGTTAACTCAAATGTAAACACAGAATAGGACATGAGCCCTACGATTAGTTAGTGGCTAACGTTACTGCCTGGCCAGTGAGCTAGCTATACTGAATAAAAATATAAAACGTAACATGTAAAGTGTTGGTCCCATGTCTCATGAGCTGAAATAAAAGATGCCCGAAATTTTCCATGCGCTCAAAAAGCTTATTTCTCTCTAATTTTGTGCACAAATTTGTATACATCCGTGTTAGTGAGCATTTCTCCTTTGCCAAGATAATCCATCCACCTGACAGGTGTGGCATATCAAGAAGCTGATTAAACAACATTATCATTACACAGGTGCAACTTGTGCTTGGGAAAATAAAAAGCCACTCTAAAATGTGCAATTTTGTCACACAACGCCACAGAGGTCTCAAGTTGAGGGAGCGTGCAATTGGCATGCTGACTGCAGGAATGTCCACCAGAGCTGTTGCCAGAGAATTGAAATGTTATTTTCTCTACCATAAGCGGCCTTCAATGTCGTTTTAGAGAATTTGGCAGTACTCCAACAGGCCTCACAACCGCAGACCATGTGTAACCACGCCAGCCCAGGACCTCCACATCCTGCTTCTTCACCTAGGGGATCGTCTGAGACCAGCCACCTGGACAGCTGATGAAACTGTGGGTTTGCACAACCAAATAATTTCTGCACAAACTGTCAGAAACCGTCTTGGGGAAATTCATCTACGTGCTCGACATCCTCACCAGGGTCTTGACCCGACTGCAATTTGGTGTCGTAACTGACTTCAGCGGGCAAATGCTCACCTTCGATGGCCACTGGCACGCTGGAGAAGTGTGCTCTTCATGGATTAATTCCGGTTTCATGGCAGACAGCGTATATGGCGTCGTGTAGGCTAGCGGTTTGCTGATGTCAACGTTGTGAACAGAGTGCCCCATGGTGGCAGTGGGGTTATGGTATGGGCAGCAGAGCATGTGAGGGGAATTGAGCGGTTGGAAATCCCGCTCCCGTGCTCCATGTGCTTTCCTATCGCTCCGCGCTCGCATGAAAAAAAAAACTGCCGCTCCAAATTCGCTCATTAAAAATCACGATTTAACCAACACCCCATCTGTTTGTGACTACATGGACCTACCAATTGGATTTTAAGTATTGAAACCAAAAAGTATTTGAATAAACATGAAAAGGTGAATGTAAGAAGCGCTCATCATTTCAAATAGTCTACATGTCGTATTAAACAGCATATAAACACTCTAAATAGGTCAGGAGCCAGACAGGGAGCCTAAGAAGGAACCAAAATGAATTATTTAGGCTATATTATTATTTATATTATTTCAAGGCTATAGCCTACAAAGAAATACATTGTGGAGTATTTGTGAGTGCGAACCTAGACTGGTAGGGACATAAAGAGTTCAGTATTGAAACAACATTTTGTTGTATGTGACTTACTTAGAATTAAATGAAATATGACTTATTAGTGCCTTTGAATTCATTTTTAGAAACGAGTTTGGCCAGTATGTGGCTTCATGCGTTGCAGCCTGGAGAGCCGGCCAGCAGTGGATAATATCCTCTCCATGGTGCCTGGAGAGCCGGCCAGCAGTGGATAATATCCTCTCCATGGTGCCTGGAGAGCCGGCCAGCAGTGGATAATATCCTCTCCATGGTGCCTGGAGAGCCGGCCAGCAGTGGATAATATCCTCTCCATGGTGCCTGGAGAGCCGGCCAGCAGTGGATAATATCCTCTCCATGGTGCCTGGAGAGCCGGCCAGCAGTGGATAATATCCTCTCCACCCCTCCAGAGCCACTGGGGATGTTAACCACCCTTTTGGCCACTCTCGCCAGGCTGGGCAGAGATGTAGTCGTTTTTTTCCTATTAGGTAGGCATAAAGGTTTTTTAGGCAAAATAACCTCCTTGAACATGGGAATATGCCAGGCCTATTGGGCCAAAATCAATCATGGCCTATTGTATAGATAATAGAACGAAAATAAACTAAACATTTAAGAGATCTGATTTTTAGTTTATAAATACTGTGCTATGATGACACACTTAATTATCTACCCACCTCGTTCCTTTCTTTTAGCATGTGCACATAGTGAGGACACCATCATGCTTTTGGGATACGTGTCTTTTCAGATTCCACAGTTATTATTTAGTTGTGGACACTACATCACCGCACTCCCTCTCTTGCTCTTGGTTTTAAGTCACCTTGATTTAGCACCTGTGTGTTTTATCAGTTTCTTTATAAAAATATTTAGCGAACTCCATGACAGTAGCTAAAGCAAGGGGCTATAGCAGCACACAAGTAGACTACAAATGCATGCTGGGCCGGGCATGCCCTGAGCTCGTGAAGTGAACGCAACTGGAGCGGGTGAGAAGGCGGACGCTCCAGCCTCTGGGAATTCGCTCCACGCTCCAGCCTCTGGGAATTCGCTCCACGCTCCAGCCTCTGGGAATTCGCTCCACGCTCCAGCCTCTGGGAATTCGCTCCACGCTCCAGTCAAATTGGGCACGCTCCGCTCACATACTCTGATGGGCAGGCATAAGCTACGGACAACGAACAAAATTGCATTTTATTGATGGTCATTTGAATGCACAGAGATACCGTGACGAGATCTTGAGGCCCATTGTCGTGCCATTCATCCGCCGCCATCACCACATGTTTCAGCATGATAATGCACGGTCCCACGTCTCAAGGATCTTTACACAATTCCTGGAAGCTGAAAATGTCCCAGTTCTTCCATGGCCTGCATCCTCACCAGACATGTCACCCATTGAGCATGTATGGGATGCTCTGGATCGACGTGTATGACAGCGTGTTCCAGTTCCCGGCAATATCGAGAAACTAAGCACAGCCATTGAAGAGGAGTGGGACAAAATTTCACAGGTCACAATCAACAGCATGATCAACTCTATGCAAAGGAGATGTGTGGCGCTTCATGAGGCAAATGGTTGTCACACCAGATACTGACTTGTTTTCTGATCCACGCCCCTACTTTTTAAGGTATCTGTGACCAACAGATGCATATCTGTATTCCCAGTCATGTGAAATCGATAGATTAGGGCCTAATTTATTTATTTGAATTGACGAATTTCCTTATATGAACTGTAACTCAGTAAAATCTTTGAAATTGTTGCGTTCCTACTTTTGTTCAGTAATTAGCCATCCTCCTAAATGCGGTGGTCAGTGGATACACGATGAGTGGAACGTATGTCTGAAAATTCGTCTTATAATTGTAAGTTAATTGTAATTTAAATTGGTGGTTACTACTGGTTTCAGATCAGAGGCGAGAGACATTTTCGGCCATGTTTTGGTAAGGGCTCGAAGTGATGTCACGCACCCAATAATCCTCAACCAATCACCCGACGGATATTATTGACTGACTGCCTCCAGGTATCCTACGAAAAGAAATGTCGCGTACCGTAGTTAGCTGGCTAACAAACACGACCTGTGAGCTACCTGGCTAGCTAACTTCTTTAGGTTGACAAACTCTCCAGCTAGCTGCTATCCTTTAGACGGTTTGCAACATGGGAAATTAACGCGATTAATATTTCAGATTTGTTTCCCTTGTGAGCACTGTTTACCTTATTCGTGATGAAGAAATGTAGCTACAGCGTTTGGAAATGAGAGTTATCGTTGGTTTTTAAATACGTAGTCAACGTGCGACTCTGTGAGCATGCGTTTAAAGTCCCCAAACTCCGACCTGCGCATTTGCCTGAGAAAAATTACAGGAACAATAACACGGAAACATGCTATAACATCTGGGTCTACAGAGAATGTAAGATTGGAAACTGTGGTATCTGGATACAGTTGTTTGACAGCAGGCTAGCTAACTATGTGTTCAAATGTGAACATAAGTCAGTTGTTAAACACATGACGTGTTGAAGTGTACAAGGTGCTAAATAAAGTGGCTAGCTGTATCTGTCAACCTCAAAAAGTTTGTTGTCAAATTTTTGATGACATTGTTCACTGAAATACTTAGCCAGTGATGTGTTTCACTGGAGAGCCCAACTTCTGTCCTGAGTATGGGAACGTACTGCCTCTACTTGGGTTTTAAAATTGCGCCGACAGAGAGAGCTGCCTCGCTAATAGTCTTTAGGAAACTGCAGTATAAAAAAAAAAGTATTATTTCTTACATTGTTAGCTCATAAAATCTTCCTTTACTTAGATTTGTGTGTGTTAGATATTTGTTGCGGAACTGTTAGATATTACTTGCTAGATATTACTGCACTGTCGGAACTAGAAGCATTTACATTTAAGTCATTTAGCAGACGCTCTTATCCAGAGCGACTTACAAATTGGTGCATTCAATTTAGGATAGCCAGTGATACAACCACCACTAGGGGAGGGGTAGAATGATTACTGTTAGACTATTCCAGGTATTCCTTAAAGAGGTAGGGGTTCAAGTGTCTCCGGAAGGTGGTCAGTGACTCCGCTGAAGCACAAGCATTTCGCTACACTCGCAATAACATCTGCTAACCATGTGTATGTGACCAATACATTTTGATTTGATTTGAGGACACAGTCACCTGTCCGCGGCGAGGATGGGTTGTTTGTTGTCAGTTAAATTTCCCTGCTGGAGATAATGATGTATCCTACTGACAGACAGAATCATTAGCTAAAGGGGTCAACTGCTTGCCAGTCTGTTTGCGCTATCATGCCAACTGCCTATCACTCATCATCATCATCATCATGGCAAACATGGCTTGACGATGAATGGTCCCATAGAGAATGATAGAGGCCTCTAGTGGCCAAAAGGCCGTTTTAGCATGGGCAGCGCCATTGAGGGCTTCCACCATTTTAATGTAGTCAACTGGGTGGGACTTCCAACTTCATTGGCTGATCCCTCCTGGTGACCCTGTTGGAGTCATGTCCAACCAGGTCATCAGGAGGGATCAGCCAATCGTGAAGAAGAAAATGGACTACTTCAAAATGGAGATGACCTCAATGGCGCTGCCCATGCTGTCACAGACCCTATAGATCCTCTATCTATCTCTATGGAATAATAATATGCCATTTAGCAGACGCTTTTATCCAAAACGACTTACAGTCATGTGTGCCTACATTTTTACATATGGGTGGCCCCGGGGATCGAACCCACTACCCGGGCGTTACAAGCGCCATGCTCTACCAATTGAGCTACAGAGGACCACAGATGGAATGGTCCATGGAATTGGCAAGAGCACAAACCGGGTCCCCCATTACAGTGAATAGAAAAATTGCAATCTTCATGTAAATCCTGGTACCAATAAATAATTGTAATGCACCCGATGTATGTCCTTTTACCGATTTATTTTAAAATCACACACAGAAGAAGTTATAAGGATAATTGTGTTGCTAATGGCAGCCTGCAGTACCCCAGTCAGCCTTCAACTTGAGTTACTCAACGAGAGGGGGCAGCACTGAGCTAGCCTGCAACGTCACTTCCTGGAGTAGCTCAACCTGTGCATGTTTATGTCTCCACGAGACGCCATCTTAACTGACTTCATTTGGCTTCAATGCGCTATTGAGTCTTCACATATGAATGAATGGTGTCACGTGATCGATGGCTTTGTCCATTCATATATATATATTGGCATCTCTGTAGCTCAGTTGGTAGAGCATGGCGTTTGCAACGCCAGGGTTGTGGGTTCGATTCCCACAGGCGGCCAGTATGAAAATGTATGCACTCACTAACTGTAAGTCACTCTGGATAAGAGCGTCTGCTAAATGACTAAAATGTAAATGTATATATACAGTCATTGGAACAATGTAGCTCAGCTGGTAGAGCACGGCGCTTGTAACGCCAAGGTAGTGGGTTCGATCCCCGGGACCACCCATACACAAAAAATATATGCACGCATGACTGTAAGTCGCTTTGGATAAAAGCGTCTGCTAAATGGCATATAAAAACAGATCTGGGATCAGGGGTGTATTCATTAGTCGCATAACGCTGCTAAACATTTTGCAACAGACTAAGCGTTTTGGAACGGAATCCGACTAATGAATACACCCCTGGCTAGGTAACTATTCTCACAAAGACAAACAAGTAGTCATCCAGGTATTGTATTTCATCCAGCCAGTCTCTTTTGTCATCATCAGTATGTGGCCCTTAGACCCTGCAATGCAGTGGTCTAAGGCGCTGCATCGCAGTGCTAGCTGTGCCACTAGAGATCCTGGTTCGAATCCAGGCTCTGTCATAGCCGGCCGCGACCGGGAGACCAATGGGGCGGCGCGCAATTGGCCCAGCGTCGTCCAGGGTAGGGGAGGGAATGGCCGGCAGGGGATGTAGCTCAGTTGATAGAGCATGGCGTTTGCAACGCCAGGGTTGTGGGTTTGATTCCCACAGGGGGTATGAAAAAATAAAAAATGTATGCATTAACTGTAAGTCGCTCTGGATAAGAGCGTCTGCTAAATGACTAAAATGAAAAAAAAAATATAACTGTGTTTTTATGTACTTCTATCTCTCCAGAATTTTCAGGTCAAGAGGTCACGTCTTCAGTTGTCTTTAACGCTCTAGAACGGTCCACTGTTGCTGTGGAGGAGGAGGACTCAAAACTCAAGGGGGCTGTGGTAAGAATTCACCTAAAAAGTTCCTAAAGTGATCAATAAACTACCATTTAAAAATGAGAAATTCCAGTGTAATAGTACAGACTACTGTAGGGGTATTCAAACCTAGACCTCGACGACAGTTCCACTTCTGATTTTCGTTCTTCCCCTCTAATCGGGGACAGATTTTTATTATCAGGTAGAACAGAAAACCAGCAGTACTCCGGACCTCCATGCTCAGATTTGAATACCACTGCACCACTGTATCAATATCTTCTCTCTAACCTCCTCAAACTCTTGCATTCTAGATTGAAAGGCGCTGCAATAAAGAGGGGATGGTTTATCACACCAGACAAATGAGATCTGCAGATGAAGGACAGACGGTCTTCTTCACCTGTATACACTGCAGGTAATGTAGAATGTACACACCTATTACATCTCACTCAAACACCAATTCACCAAGTCTATTCTAAGCAGTTCTCACCACCAGATTCATCAATCTATTCAATTTGATGTTGTTCTGCACCACAATGTGACAAGCACCTACCCCATAAACGGTATATATTCTAAATGTTAACTTATGAGTGAGTGGATATGTTACTTATAGTGATTTAATTTGTGCCTACAGATATCAAGAGAAGAAGGACTCCTGAGAAGAGATTGAGACGCTCAGGTGGTTCCCCATTCCCCTGGACCTCCTTCAATATTCATCTCTTCTCCTTTCTTTTGTCTGTAAACAAAAATGTGTTTGATCAGTGTAGTGCAAACTTGAGATCGTATTGGAGAAAACACAATTGGTATGCTATTCCTTGCACTTCATTGCTTGTAATGAGGCTTAGGCTAGTCGCTCTGGGATGCTAAGCATTTTAAATCCTTTGCTGCATCAGTTGGATTGTGAACATGTTTGTTGCTGTTATCGTTTCCCTTCTACATTTTGTCAACGCTCTCAGGGAATGATAGTGAATTTATCTAAATAACCTACTTACATGTTTACAAATGTATACATTAGCAATTATTGCAATCTTTATTTATCAATCAAAAATAAAATACTGCATTTACATTTCACTGTGGCGTTGAGTGCAGCAAAAGTAGTTGCTCCAATCAGAACGCTCCCCCTTGTAGATGTCTGAATCACGTGATCATCCAACATGGCTTCTATTCACTTGCTGAGAAAAAAAAGATGCTGAACATTTCTGAATGTATTAGTTTATAGGAATTATTTTGGACCTTATCCGATACACCAACCATAAGGTAAACAATAAAATGTCGATGTACATGGTTGATTGCACTTTCTGTCTCACTTTAAAACGCTCTGTTCCATTCCATCCTCGTTAGCTAGCTAGCTAAGCTTGTACTCTTCATACTTGTGTCATTAACCATAGAAGAAACACATTTAATTCTTACTGTAGTTGTCATCTGCATCTGTTTTTGTCTTCGGTAGAAGATGAAGCTGCGCGTGCAGTTACAATGCAAGAACCTCCATGAGTACCTGAAAGAGTTGAGCCCTGAGATCTTGGACAGATTGTACAACCATCCGGCCACATGTCTGGCTGTCTACAGGTGCGGGATCAGTCCAGTTAAACAACACTATTATAGTAACTGTAAAATATGACATGCATAAATCCTGCTGTTTGCTATGCTTAGTACACAAATTGATCTTTAATGCACACATTATTATTTATAACATATTTGGAACAGAACACAGGCTGTCTACAAATTTAGCACCATGTTACATATACAAGCACAATGATCGGTATTTTGGGTTGCACCGGACTCACATGCAACGTAAATCAGGGAGTCAGATTATCTGCTTGTTTCACTGCTTGACAGGGAGCTCCCCCCATTGGCCAAGAATTATGTAATGCGAATGCTGTTCCTAGACCAACCCCTTCCTCAGGCAGCGGTGGCTCTGTGGGTGAAAAAAGACAGTGAAAAGTAAGTCTATCCGAATCATACATAGTACGTGTCCGATGCTCCATTGTAAATTCAGTCAAATGTCAGGTTGTTAAATGACTGTCAGTTAACCTTCAGTCTCTGTAGTTCACTCTCTCTTTCTTCTTCTCTTTCTTCAGGGACCACGATCAGTGTGTCTCTGTGCTGTCTGGTCTCAGACTATGGCACAGCCAGCAGCTACAGGGAGGCCTGCAGGGAAACGTTCTGAACCCCGTATTCAAAGACAACCTGAGAATAGCATTATTAGGAGGGTAAGTCAACCCTTTCATGTGTAAGGTACTTAGTATCTACAGTACCACATGGGGGCTTAATATGCCAGCAGTAGAACTACCAAAGCTAAAACTTGCGAGTGAACGCGTCTTTCGTACGGCTCATGTATTATGGCTCACGTATGCTTACTCTCTTCTCCTCCTCCTCCTCTTCTTCCTGCTCCTCCACTACCTCCTCTTCCACTACCGCCTCCTCATCTTCCTCCTCCTCCACTACCTCCTCTTCCTCCTCCTCTCAGGGGTAAGTCGTGGGCAGACCAGGGTGACAGTCTGGGTCCTGACAGACATGCCCGTGATGTGGAGAGTCTGGATAAGTATGCCTTGGAGCGCTGGGAGGTTGTTCTCCACTTCATGGTGGGCTGTCCCAGTGCTGCAGTCAGCCAGGATCTGTCCCAGCTCCTCATTCAGGCTGGCCTTATGAGAACGTAGGTACCACGCCGCTGAGGGACCACTGTGAACTCAAATGTTATACTCTCACATACACTCTTTATTTCTTGTCATTTGTATTTTTTATCACTATTTTACCTGTATTATTTTTCTATGAATGTGTTTGGGATTTTCACGTATTTTCAACTGTTCTCTGTTTTCGATGTATTTTTTTTTCTCCACAATATTCTTTCTAATTTCTCAGTTCCTCTCTTTTCCGTCCTCTTTCTCTCCTCATTCATCCTACACTTCTTCCTCTCCTCCAGTGAGGCTGGAGATGCTCCCTGTATCACCTCTGCTGGTTTCCAGTTCCTCCTCTTGGACACAGCCTCTCAGCTCTGGTACTTCACACTACAGTACCTCAACACGGCACAGGTAGGTCCTCATACAGACACACACACACAGTCTGGCGCAGCTAACCTTGTGGGGACATACAATTCAGTCCCATTCAAAACACTATTTTCCCTAACCTCTAACCCTAACCCAAAAACCTAACCTTAACCCTAAACCTAACCCTAGCTCCTAACCCTCTCCTAACACTAATTCTAACCTTAACCCTAAACCCCCTAGAAATAGCATTTTACCTTGTGGGGACCAACAAAATGTCTCCAGTTGGTCAAAATGTTCTTGGGTTTACTATTCTTGTGGGGACATCTGGTTCCCACAAGTATAGTTAAACACGTCCACACACACACACACACACACACACACACACACACACACACACACACACACACAGTTCCCCAGTATTATATCTCTCTCTTGTCCTCCTCATTTTTCAGACTCGTGGAATGGACCTGGTGGAGATTCTGTCCTTCTTGTTCCAGCTCAGTTTCTCAACACTAGGCAGGGTGAGTCTTGTAACACATTACAGCTACCTGGCAGCTTACCTGCAGAACACTCAACTTTAACCACCGATCGATTTCTACACGGTATGACGTGATGTCGTGTCAGTCATGTCAAAATATATCATAGTCATTGTGCATTATTAGATCATGGGATATTCTGCTTATAGTCTCTTATCGACTGATGTTGTCACCCCTGTCCTGTGCCCCCAGGACTACTCAGTGGAGGGGATGAGTGAGTCTCTGCTCACCTTCCTACAGCACCTGAGAGAGTTTGGCCTCGTCTTCCAGAGAAAGGTAAGATATGGTGGAGGACAGCTACAATTGTAGAGGACAGTAACATTTGGCATGTGTGTATATATATATGTTATAATAAATACCTCACATGCGACAAGCATTACAAGGAATTACTCTAAGCATATAGCTCCTTATATGTTTATATAACCTATATCCTTATAGGTTAAACTTACAGGACAAAAGCATAAACACAGAGTTGCTTACTAGGCCAGAGTTCTAGAAGCCTAGGAAATGAGAATTGATCGTACAACCTTCCTCCATGGACTGGATACAGGATAAGAGAGAGATCAAAGGCTTTTCATTCCATTCATAACATCTGAAGGAGTAACCTTTCAACCCAAAACCAACCACCATTGACCAGTCAAAACGATACCAAGTTTTACAGTAACCTAAACACTCCCAGGCCCAGTCTCCACAGGGTGAACACAGCATCTAAAGGCTTGTGTGGGGGATGACACCAATGTAAATGAGACAGAATTCCCGAGAAAGACGATAAAACCTCTTTGCATAGAGTAATTCAGAGTTCACCCTGTACAGGTACAAGTAACCACAGAGATCATAGATACATGTAGAGAGCACCAGAGTTATCCTCAGTGAACAAGTTTCAGATAGATACCAGACATGGATACTATAGTATTATTCTACCACATGCAATAGTCAGTGCTCTGAATACTGTAGCAGAGAGGTACATTTTGGCCCCTCAGAGGGGGAAGGGCTGACTAGTCCTTGGGCGTTGTCCTTTGTTCCTGGACCATTTACCATGCAACTCCAGGTGACCGAGAGCACATAAATTAGGGCCGAACCTACACCATTCCCACGGAATACACTGTTATGGGGTCAAAGGTTAGGGAGCTGGGAGGACTGAAATATTCTGCTTTTACAATGTTATGCTGTTTTCAAATTAAACAAAATATATTGCTCTTGTTAAAGCTTTTAGAATGTATTTGTTTTTGTTTTTTGTACATGGTTGCTGTCAAATAAACAAACAAAAAATATGGTGGAAGAGCAAGATATCAAGACAGAACAGAATGGACAGAACAGAATGGACAGATTGAATGGACAGATTGAATGGACAGAACAGAATGGAAAGATTGAATGGACAGAACAGGATGGAAAGATTGAATGGACAGATTGAATGGACAGAACAGAATGGACAGATTGAATGGACAGAACAGAATGGACAGATTGAATGGACAGATTGAATGGACAGATTGAATGGACAGAACAGAATGGACAGAACAGGATGGACAGATTGAATGGACAGAACAGAATGGACAGATTGAATGGACAGAACAGAATGGACAGATTGAATGGACAGAACAGAATGGACAGATTGAATGGACAGAACAGAATGGACAGATTGAATGGACAGAACAGAATGGACAGATTGAATGGACAGATTGAATGGACAGAACAGAATGGACCGATTGAATTGAA